CACAATTTGAATTTGCCCTCTTTTTTTTTCCATTGTTGACTTCACAGACAGTATGACGATGTCCATGGAGGGCTTCGGCCCCGACAGCGTCTTCGCCACGCCGGCGGAGGATAATGGCCAGTACCGCATCAGCCGCAGCCTGGTCCGCTCCGCCGAGGGCAGCACCGTCCCCCTGACCCGAGTCAAGTGCCTGGTGTCCATGACGACGCCCCACGACATCCGCCTGCACGGATCGGCCGTCACGCCCGCATTCGTGGAGTTCGACACGTCGCTGGAGGGCTTCGGGTTAGTCGGCGTGAATGTCCAGAGGTTTTACACGTGTCTGGTTCTTAGCTTTTCTTTTCTTTAAAACCAAAAAAAGGGGGAACTGCTTTACACATGTTGGACATATGTGCAATTCAGACTTACAGTGTTTATGGTTTGTCTGAAAGTGCATGTCGAATAGTCTGAAACCTCCTTTCCTGTGTTGTCCATTTTCTATGTGTTTTTACACTAACATACCGACATTCACACCCACTTCACGCCTGTCCATAGCATGTCCATTCATGTGTGCAGCCAAATGCAACACCGTCAACGTCTCCCTGGAGACGGAACCTAAAAATATGTTCAAACAACATACTTCCTCCTCACTCCATGACCTCTGTCCTCCAGTATGTCAGTTTAGATTTACTAAACAGGGACAGTCTCAAAGATCAGGGCATTTTTTAACTGTTCTGTATCAGCTTAAACCTAAACCTCTTTCTTTCTTTGTTTTGTTTTTTTTTTGCATCCACTGGCACAAAGGTGTTTTGTGGCAGGACACTGGGGATGCAAGTGTTGAATAACTGTCTTAATAATCTGCAGCTCTTTTAAGCAGCAATTGGTTGATAGATGACACACATTTAGCTCAGTGGGAATTTGTCCTTTGCTGGTTATCGCTGTTTAATTCATAACATAATGTAGTGTCAGCTCTATTATGTGTGCCACTGTGATATAGGAATGCTGTCCTAGTCGATCCAGGCTTGTCTTAAACACATCAGGTCTGGCTGAATGCCGTTAAACCTCACGGACGTCTTTGTCATGGTGTCCTTTGCTAGCTAGACCCCTACAGTGTGTCTGCTTGCCAACATGGAAGTGCCAGTAGTCCGAGTCATCGCCCCCTTGAGTCACTACAGCATTAAACAGTGAGAGACTCCACCTGGTGGCGCAACTGGGTACTACAGCTCATCTACAACACTTGAAGTGTGAATTATCTAGAAAAATGTCCTCAGTATTGGCAGATTCCCAATATTAAATGAAACACTTGATCAGGAAATTCCTAACATTTGATTTCCGACATGGCTGCACAGCATGTTTTAAGAACTAATTCTGAAAGACCATAACCCCTCTTTCAGACAGCCTTGTACATCACATTGAATTATTAGTATATAAAAAGATATTGAAATTGACCAGAACTTGACTTCCAGGAGAAAGTTGTTAGTAGAATGTCACACAAGTCATTTTAGAGTTGTAGGGCTTATGGGTGCCCGGATAGCTGAGCGGGTAGGGCAGGTGACCCATGTATAGGGGCTTTAATCCCCGACGCAGCGGCCGCAGTTCGATTCCAGCCAGCGGCTCATTTGCTGCATGTCATTCCCCCACGCGCCTCCCCACGTTTCTCTGTCTGTCTTCACTGTTTACTATCATTAAAGGCGGAAAAGCTTAAAAAAAAAAAAAAAAAGAGTTGTAGGGATTATAGCTGTTATAGCTACATTAGTTAGTTTCATTTTAATTAATCCAGCACAAAGCTTTTTTTGTTTGTTTAAGTCGGGGTTTTTTTTTTTGCTTTTTTGCTTTTATTCGATTGGAAAGTTGAGAGAGAAACAAGAAAGTGGGGGAGAAGAATGGGGGAAAGACCTGCAGGAAAGGGCCATGAGCGGGACTTAAACACGAGACCTCTGCGTCGGGGACTATAGCCCCTGAACATGGGACGCCAGCTCAACCAGCTGAGCTATCACTACGCCCCAATATCGATTTTTGTTCATCTGATGCTCAGAAGTAACAGTCAGAAGCCTACATTTCTGTCAAATTATGTAACGCAGACTCACTACTGATGTTACTGTGACCCTCAAAAGCCCATTCTGAGCCACGAAATGTTACATGTCGGCCCATGTTTTCCTTTTTAGACACTCAGCGACATCAGCATTCATTTAGGCTCATGTTCCTGCTCACCGTCTTTCTTTTTCTTTCAGTTCTGATTTGTTCTCTGCAGCATTCATGAAAAAATGATCTGGCCTCTTAAGCTGGTAAATGTTCCCCTGGCAGGTATTGTGCAGGAGCCTGTTTGCTGAAAACAAATGCTTCCTGCTGCTTGTTAGAGCATTGAGTGTTCACGAGAGCAACTGTGCTATAAACCTGAAACGGTGAACTAGAACACGCTCACGTAAAGCCGCACCACTCATTACATCTCTTCAATTGATTCATTATTAAAATAAGGTTTATTTATCGGAGGATCAGAGCTGCAGGAACGGGCCAGTCGTCATTACATGCTTTTGGAAATGCTGGTGCAGCAACAGATGGTGCCCATTCTTCTGTAAACCACTTTTCTCTTTGCGGATCAATTTTCCTCACCAGCGCTACACACCTCAGGGTGCCGTGTTATTTTTTCCCTGCAATGAAACAGGTTGGGTGTGTGTGTGATTTTTATTTTTTTTTACCTCCTTGCAGCACCTGCAACTGTCTCAGCAGGAGACTGTTATTCACCTCCAGTTGTGGAGCTGCGCATACAAATAGGCTTATTTTCCGCCTTTTATGTCATGCGACACCCTTTGCTGCTCTTTGTGCCGCTGCTGACAGGGTCTGCTGCACCCCGAGGTTTGTGTTGTGTGTTAGCGGCGCTGTGAGTGTGGGGGTCCAGCGGAAAACACGGTGTGTGTGTGTGTGTGATGTGACCTTGGCAGTTTGCCCCTACGCTTCAAATGCTCACGTCTAGCTGACACCCAGTAAACAACTGTTGAGACTGGTGTGTTATATTTCTCATAAATGTGTGTAAAGATACGGGTTTAAGAAAGGAAGGCAGACATCTTGCAGAAGGTCAGTTTAGCAGCTTTTATATTTGTGATTGAATTGCTCGATAGTGTTACCATGGTGGAGAATATGTGTAGATCAGCTCTTCTGCTTTTAAAAACATAGTTTGCATTGTTTTCAGTTTCCTGTATCTTTTGTGCATAGTTCTTTGTATGCACTTTTACAGTTTGACTTTTAGACAGAAGATTTTATTTGTTTCAGAAGCTTGACCTTGCCACTAAAAATGATTTAATTCCAAGTATTTTAGAGCTGGGAAATGGAAAAGAGGTGTAACTGAGGAATATATGTTTGTAGCCCGTTGTTCATCCTCATTTCGGGTGCAGTTCGGTGGTTTCCCTTTGTTTTGTTTTTAGGTTTGCAGTCAAATTGTAGACATTAAAGCCTTTTGCACATTAATACAGATATTTTCTAAATAGATGTCGTCCCCCTCAGTTAAAGTCCATCCGCATGATCATCTTTTTACAAAATGTACTGTCTGTACACCAAAGAATGCAAACACAAATACAAATGCTCTAACAAGCATGCAGGGCCAATCTACATAAGCAATACGTTAAATAACATTCTGTCATTTTGTTGTTTGTGTGGACGCCAGTGAAGTGGTTCAGCAATGCTATGTCTAGTTGTAAACTTGTAATTGCCAGTGCTAAGTGAACATAAAGAATGTGATGTATTTATATATATGTATCTGCTGCTGCTGTTGTAGCTTCAGGGACATTCTCATTACACAAAGCATTGAAGGGCATGTGTGAACTGAAAGTAGTTTTAAAACATCTTCATTTTACTCACGACTTTCTGAAAAGAAAAACATTGTTTGCGTGTGGATGAGAGGCCCAGATGTGGAGAAAAAAACATCTGTATTGGTGTTGTTCAAGTTTGGCTTCAGCTACAGCCTCGGTTATCGTCCTCAGCTCCAGTGTTTGGTAAAGAAACACCAGATATGACAGTAAATGCATGACAGCATCCCAAATCAGGGCTGGATTCAGCTTCACATCTCACAGTGTTTATCAGCTGATAGAAGTACATCGATTCACTCCCCCAGTTCAAATCACAACTTCAAACTCAGCTGTTTCAGACTGCCTACTCCACCTGAAGTCTATTGTTCCGTTTAATTTAGTGATTTTACTTATTTTTGATGTTGTTTCTTTTAATGGATTCATGTAAAGTATGTACGGTGTCCTTGAGTGCCGAGAAAGGCGCCTCTAAAAAAATGTATTATTATTATTATTATTAAGTTACTTGCTTCATCTCAGATTCAGGTGAAAACCCCAAATTGAAGCTAATAAATAGACCTTCAGTTCAGATTATTGTTGTAGTTTCAGTACAAAACAGTTTCGGTGAAATCCCACGACTGAGCTTGTTTCTAGCATTAGTAAGTGGTCAAAATAGTTCTTAATTAATTCTGCTCTTTTGATAGATCACTATCATTTCCATGTAGACTTAATGTGCTGCGTTTTAGTCACTATTTCGTACTTGTAATATTGTAAATAAGCTTTTTGGGGAATTCGACTGCAATAATACACAGTGTGAGCACAGAGAGCAGGAGAGAAGTGAACAGATGCATAGTTCCTCTGTGAAGAATATCCCCTGTGTGTTTCTCTTTATGTCTTTAATGCTACCGAAACAAAGTCTACTTAACATATTTCTGTTTAGCGAGAATTTGAAGTACTTCCATACTTTCTAAGTCTTGGATTTTTGGAAGCTTTTGCGTTTAATCGATTGTCCTCCGGTACTGTCACAATTATCTTAAACTGAAACGCAGCCGACCAATGACTGGAGCCAAAAATGTGACAATTAAACAGGGAGACTGAAGAAAAAGATTTGTTATGATGACTTCAGTTTAAAGGAAATATGTTAAAACACTGATGCCAACATGTTTCAGTGTTGACATTATTGATTATGCCACCTCACAGCTTTATATAACAGCAATGACAACACGTTGTCTGTGTGTGTCTACAAGGGAGATTAGTCAAAGCTTAAACATACTGTGAAGTTCAATATATCAGGTCTGTAAGTTTGTCAAAATACACCTGCAAAGTTCTACATTTTTACCAATTCAGCTTCGACACTGTTCAGAACAGACTCCTTAAAAGAAAAGACGTGTAATCTCCACAGATTTAATCACTTCCACTGGAATTCGTGGAACCTCTTTGATAAGTGTGAAAACATCTTCAGATCTTCGTGATCAAACGGTTACTTCTGCTGCTTTTATTACTCGCTGCTTTCAGACACCCAGCTTCCCGCCGATCAGACTTTCTGGTCCACCATTTCTTAGCTTTCCCATTTCCTCCGCTCATAAAAAGCCCATCTGACTCCTCGCAGCAGCCTCAGAATAGAACATGGAGTTTCTCCTGAAAACACAGCGAAGCGCCGCACACACTGGCAGCGAGGCGCTGGCCCACTTTCTGCTCGGCGTCAACACGGGAGGAGACGCACACACTCATTGTATAAGGCCGCCCCTCCTTCCTCTCCCATCTGTCAACATGAAATATTGATGCCCCTGCTGCTATTAGGAATCACACACATGCACATAGTACCACTCTCCGTCATGCACAACATGCTTGCACACACTCAGACACATGAACGCACCCAGCCAGCCGTCACACGGGGGAAGAGGAAGATGCTATCAGTCTGGAAGGATGGGGGTGGAGGGAAGATTTTCATGTTTTTTTGAAGAATCAGAAACATCGTCGTGACTGGGAAGAGAAAAATTACAAGGCAGGCTCCTCATAAAATCCCTGGAGTGTTTTATTTTTTCCTTTTTTTTTTTTTATAGCCTAATCAAGGTGATGAGGGGAAAAAAGGCGGCATTGCGTGAAGCAGCAGGGTGGTGCACTTGTTAGTTTGACAGACTGTCTGTTAAGGGTAGGAGCAGAGCGTCTGCCCTTGAGAAGCGTCCTCGAAAAAAAAAAAAAGAAATCATTGAATCCCTGCCAGCTTCGGGGATGTTGTCCGGTAGCTAACCCTGACCCCTCACCTTCCTGTCCAGGTGGAAAAACAAGAAGAGAAAAACAAATTAGGTCATTTTTTGCACTCAATTAGCGCCTCTGTTGAAATGCTAATTTTATAGAGCGCTAATAAAAAAAAAGATCCTGTTGAATGTGCGGCTGCAACCAACAATTATGTTAATCCAAATTGCAGGGTTATTGTCCAAAAATGCTCCATTTACAACAATGGGGAACAGAATGCTAGTTTTCAGGTTTTAGAAGTTGAAACCAGGAAATAATTGAGATTCATGCCAAGTAAACAACTGGAAATGTGCTTTATTTTGATTTCAGCAGTGAATTGATCACACTAGCAGTCACTATCTTCTGTCTCCTGAGCTTGATAATGTTATTTTTGAGCTCATACTTCTGTATATTTTGGTTTATTCTATTTTTATACTACATTTCTTGAATGTTTGCACTGTCTTTGCTGCTGTAACACAAACCTAAATGTCCCCACTGTGGGATTAATAAAGGGTTATCTTATCCTAAATCCTATTCCTCTCTACCGTAGACCTTCATTGGCATCCAATTCAAAATACTACGGCACACTAAAGTTTACTCACTCTCCATCCTGCTGCTAGAAATACTCCCCAGAGCACCAGATGTTGACCGATGCACCGCTGGAAACATGCTACAGATTAGCATCAAGCTGTTTTAGGAAATGACGAACTTTTGCTTTAGGTTAAATTTGCATCCTTTGAAGGAGCCATAAAATGAGGAAGCTTGAATAGATCCAATCCATGGTTCAGTACGCAGGAGACCCACTGATTGAGTGATTGGGTGAAATAAAGTTTTACTGCCACTGTTGGGTTTTAAAGCGACTATAAGGGCGCAGTCCTCTGCCAAGGCCAGTATCCTGTTATAGATTTTAAAGACAGTGTTCCAAATCTGCGCCTTGTACTTTTTGTATAATCCTGCTTTCAGACAAACAGACATAAAAACAAGTGGCACAAAGCAACGTACATGTAGTGACAAGATATAAAGCAGATTTGTTTGGTTTTGTTGAGCTGAAAAAGGATCCTGTCCATGACCTTATCATGTAGCAAACTGTTCATTCATTTTCTGTCAAATCCAGTCATCATTTAATTCTTTGGCTGTGACATAATGGAATTTAACACACATGTTAATGCCTTACTACACTGATCACCCACTGGCTTTTTCAAATGTACCTTCAACTTAGTAAAACATGCCATATTCATTTTCAAAAACTCAAAGACGCTTTACAGAGTAAAAAAAAACAAACAAACAACAAAAGCAACTAATACAATATTTCTTAAATCTGTAAACATTTAGCCCGACAGGTGTCATCTGCCTGATGATGTCCGTCCTGGTTGTTTTAATTTGAAGTGTTAATCAGCCGGTAACAACGATGACATCATGGGGTCTTAGCCTGATGATATCACCGTTGGTAGATGATGCAGGAATGTTAATGTTTGATGTCAAATGCGAAGTACTTTGGGTCAACCTTTGTTGTTTTAAATGTGATATATAAATACGGTTGATGTTGATGTGCATCTTTAGTTAATTGGCTGTTTTTGTGTCAGGACAGCTTTTAGGACTGTGATGATTTCTTCTGATTTGTGTTGAATTATTCAGTTGTATTTGGGTTTCTTTCCTAGACGAGAATCAGTCACGCCTCACTCGGTTTAGATCTAAACTGTGAAGGAGTTGCAGTGCAGACAGTTTGTTCGAGCAGCATTTATATGGGAGGAATATATCAAGAGAGACAAGGCCGCAGTTATGATTCTGTGCTTCTTTTGCAGACGTACGGATATTGTCAACAGCTGTCATTAAGGCTGTCCTGCACTTGAGCTGGAGTCTGTGATTTTTCTGGTTGAACTGGCTGCAGCCTCCTCACGCTCTAGAGGTGTATTTGACTCCTAACGTAGAAAGGAGAAAAAAACAAAACAAACAAATCCCCATTTTCGTCTCCCGGAGCGCCAAGTGTCTCCAGCGCTGGTTGACGGATGATTAGAGAGGAGAAAATAGCACCTTCAGCGAGGGGCAGTGAGTCAGCAGAACACAACGCCGACTCACCACCACAATTCTTTGTAATTCTGCGGAATGATTGCCAGTCTTTGTCCGCTGGAGATGTCCTTGGAAAAACAACAAAACCGACATGACAGTGCATACAGACATCAGACTTAAAGTGTAATGCAAGAAGCTTACCGAGGACTTTAGTGCAGGATTTCTCTGTGCAGTTATCATCCTGTGCTTTTTTTTTTTTTTGCTATTAATTTGGATATTATCATAAAGCTCAAGTGCAAGAAGATGAAACTCGCAATGAGCAGATTCCTTTTTGAAAAACCGGCCCGAATGTGTGCTTTCATCCCACCTCTATCCTCGATTCATGCATAATTAATCCTCAAGTATTAGGCAGTTGGAATTTCCATATTATAATACAAAGCTTCTGTGTCTCAGCGTGAGAATTATCGCACTGCTTTTTTTTCTTCCTGTGAGTTTAAAACGAGTTTCTCCTAATAGTTTATCTCGGGGACGGCGCCAGACTGCAGCAGCGGAGGAGAACATGCAGTAAATCTCCGTTACAATAACTGCATATGTAGGCCGACGACGTGTTTTGTCACCGCTACAGCTGTTTCCTCAGATAGCAGTTGTTAATCTGTCCTCTGTTCTCCCCCCGTGTAGGTGCCTGTTTCTGCCCAGCCTGGCACCCCACAACGCCCCCACCAACAACACCAACGCTTCAGGTGTCAGCGACGGAGCAGTGCTGAGCGGGATGGGGACAGGTAAAGAAATAGTTCAATGAATAAGTTGTTGATGATACAGATGGAGATCACACAGGGTTTTAATGTGGCTTATTTCCCTGTTGCTGGCATCAAGTTCACTCATCAACATCACACCAGATGACTCCTATCAGCTCCTACAATGCGGATACAGAATGTGTTTTGTTTTCTCCAGTTTCTACAACTAGTGTAAATGTAGGACTGTGAGTCATGAACCGTCTGAGCTCAGTCTGCCTGGGTTTACGATGTGATGTTTGTGGTGTAATCGCAAGTTCAGGAGTCACACCAATAAGTCATTCCACCTCAAGTTCACTAGACCATCTCATATTTGTCCATAATTGTTATTTTTTTTCTCCATCCCAGTAATAATATTACAGTTGAAACCAGAAGTTTACATACACTGTATAAAAAGATATATAACCTTTTTTTTGTCTCACTGTTTGACATTTAGTCAGACTTAACTTTTCCTGTTTTAGGTCAGTTAGGATCCACTTAACTCAAGTGTTGTCAATTGACCTATCAAAAGCTTCCAAAGCCATGACATCATCGTCTGGACTTTCCCAAATAGTTTGAACGCATCTTAGTCTATGTAAACTTCTGACTTTGAAGAAAGTAGTAAAAAATTCTCTATAAAATTCTCTCTCTCATTATTCTGCTGTTTTAGCAAATAGAAATAATGTTGGTAATCCTAACTGACCTAAAACAGGAGAAGTTTCGTCTGATTTAATGTCAGATAGTGAAACAAAAAAAGATTATGTGTCTTTTTATACAGCATATGAAAACTTCTGGTTTGTAGCTCTATCAGCTGGGACACTGTTGGAGTGGTTTCACCATCAATACCCAATGATTATCCTAATATTGAACATAAATGCAAAAAAAATTATTAGTTGTTTTTCCTCATAAAGTTTTGACTGGCACCATGCTCAACATTTTTATACCTCGTATTGGTGCCAATCACAGGAAAAACAATCTTTTACGGTTGTTGGAATATCACAATAGACAGAAATATTACACATTTTTGGGCTGTATTTGCACCATCATATAAATGGTTTTGCATTATTCTATCAAAGTAGGTTTGCACCACTGAAGACCAAGTGTCTCATCAATGAGTCCGCAAAATTTCAGGACTCTAGCTACATTATTTCTCCAGGTATGGCACTTCAAACATTAATCCACTGATTGGAGTAAAGAAAAAAGGCAAAAAAATCAACATGACCCACCTTGTTTAAGGATTTTTAACTCAAAAACTAATGTTACCTTTGACCCCAGATTGCACACATGGTCACCTCCATCAATATTCACCTCTTTTTAAAAACATGGTCATTTGGTGGATGGTCAAAAGAGGATACTCAGGAAGAGAATATCACAGCAGAAAAGCCAATCAGGCTGAATAATAAGGAAAATTCCAATGAATAAAGTAGATAAATGTTAAAAGGTGCAAAATACAGAATTTAAACACCAAAAATTAATAGAACAAACAAGAATTGATACAAATAAAATATAAAAGCACCAAATGTGCCATAGCACAGTGTAAAATATAGTTTAAAAAAAAGATTCAATCAACTATAAAAACTGGTTTTGAGCAGTGATTTAAAAGTAGACACTGATTCTGCAGCCTCATCTCCTCATTCCAGTACTGAGGGGTCCTAAAGGCAGATGCTCGGTCACCTTTAGATTCAAGCCTCGACTTTGGAACACCTGAGGCTGCAAAGTGGCTCACGTCGGGTCAACATTTCTGTCATGTAGCTCGTAGGAATGCTTTTCAGTTTTAATCCGTAGAAACACTAAAACACAAACATGTTTCCTCCTCGTTGCACATTTGGCTCCATGTTTGATGAATAATTAACCGCTCAGACTCCCCTCCTCACATCACTGTGCTGGCTTCATTCCCCATCGTTTGCCCCACTTTACCTGCATTCTTGTCTGTTGTTTCTTTTATTTTATTATTATCTTTAAACCTCTCAGGGTTTCGTCATCTCACCCACTAAGTGTTTATAGCCTGATGTCATCTTTTTTTCATGCAGAAGCCCAAACCAGCAGGTTCACGTCTGCGCTGGTAGACCTCACCTGTCTCTGAGCCTTTGGTTTACTGTCAAGTAATTAGACTGTGTTGAAAATGAATCACAAATCACAGTGAAAAACATTATTTTGCCCGCAGAGACTTCATGGAATGGGGCCTTTTGGGGGGGTTTTTGGGCCGTAAGGCAGAGATAAAATTAATCTCTGACGTTATGGTTGAATTTCTAATATGTGGCCTCATAGAGTATTTATGAAGCACAGCTAGACTCTCCGTGCTCCTCTCCTCTCCTTTATTAATCGATCCTCCTCCTCCTCCTCATTCACTCATGCATTACTACCGTCCCTCCATCTGTTTACCTCTTCATCCCTCATCCACCCCTCGCTGTTCTCCTCTTGTCTCCTCCAGCCGACTCTATTTATAGTCGCCTCTCCTTGTCGCTCACACTTCTCCCTTTTTTCCCTTGTCCTTTTCGTTGCTTATCTCCATCTCCGGTCCTTTTCTTTCGCCCCAAATCTGTCTCTGCTCTTTGTTGCTCTCCTCCCTCCCTCCTTCCTCGCCTCGTTCGTCTTAACCCTCTTACCTCCCCTCTTCCTCCTCCTCCTCCTCCTCCTCCTGTCTGACCCACATCTGTGCATGACATCACCTCCGAGCTCATTCATCAAAATACCTTCGCAACGCCCCTGCTGCATCCACTGATGTGCACGAGACATTCCCTCAAGCCCGTTTTCAACAGATTGCCTAAGCTCTTGCAGCATTTTCCACTGCAGCTTTTCCTCGAGTCTGCAGTCGGCTCGGCTGTGTACTCGCGGACCAATTTTAATTTGGTCCAGTCTGATAACCTGTTGAGTGACAACCTCATCCCGAGCCGCAGTGACTTTGCGTTGCTCTGAAGCTCCGGCTCATTGACTTGCAGGACAGTGTGGCTCAAAGACTCCCTTCTGCCGTGATGTTTTGGCAGCTAACTCCGACGTACTGTCATTTAGTCTGATGTAACCGCGGAACTTTAGCTCATTTTGATACGAACACTGGTCGCCGTCTGCCCCGAGGGCTGAATTTGAATCCTTGCTCTACACTCATTGTGCTGCTCTGCAGACGTGTCTGACTAAAAGCCGTACTGTATCCACCGCAGAATCAACGCTGAAGCAAAGCAATTTATAAACTTGTGTAAAATGCAATTACAAGTGAGGAAAACAAGCTTTATTATTAAAAGAGAGTCCATGGGGCTTATTGATGTTAAAAGAAGCAACAGGCAAGATAATAAATCACAACATGAGAGAACAGTGACAATACTAAACAAATTAAAGTGGAGCCTGACTAAAATTCATAATCCACACTTTGTTTGTAGTTTGCTAGTACCAGCAGATAGTGATGTATGGCTTTGTTTTGGGCGTTAAAAACCAGCTCCTCATTCATTTTGTTGTCAAATACAACAAGAGTAAACATGCAATCTGTCAAAAAGTGACATCGTCTGTGGCGATTAGTTAATGATGAAAATGTAGAGAATAACAACTGGTGGAAACCCAGAAAATTGCATCGTCTCATGTGTCTGATGTCGTACACGGCTTGTGAAATGTGTTTACATGCAGCGGCAGGTAGAACCTCACCCGTCTGTGTTTGTGTCATTTTCTGAATTACAATTTATAGAAAGCAAAAACACGACAGTCTGAATTTTAGTTGCGTTTGTATTGTTCCATCTAAAATCATCAGGGGTCTTCTGCTCGACCTTCCCTGACTTGCCTGAAGCTTTTTTATCATCACCTGTGAATATTTAAAATGCTTTCTGTGGAAGTTTAAATTGATATATCAAGTGTTTTTTTTACATGTTGACATTTGAGCTTGTGTTTGGAGGACAATATTTCAGAAACACTTTAAACTGAAGATGAAAAGCCCCATCTTAGAGCTCACGTTAACAAAAGTATTAGAAAAGCAGAAGTCGGGCCGCCCCTTTGGCTCACCTGGTTGAGCTGGCGACCCATGTACAAGGGCCATAGTCTCCGATGCAGCGGCCATGAGTTCATGGCCCTTTGCTGCAACCCCGTCCCCCATTCTCCTCCCCCACTTTCCTGTCTCTCTTTCAGCTGCCCTATCTGATAAAGGCCAAAAGGCCAAAAAAAAAAACTTAAAAAAGCAGAAGTCAACGAGTGATATTTTCTGAACCACATGAAGCTGCATTTAACAATAATACAAAACAAAACATGCAGAATACTTTTTTATTAATAAATACTTGATCACAGAAATGATGAGCTGATAGAACAGGTGTGTTGTACTGCGAAAACACAAGTATTGGTAGCTGAAAACTGCTCTGGAGTTTCAAAATGGTTCTTCCAATATAACTAAGAATTTGTATGAATGTTTTTAATAAATGTACATTTTTCTGCCTAAAATTTCAGGACTTTATTCGTAATAGTTCCTGAAATATTATCGTTCAAGCATAGATGCACATTTCAATGCGTGAGAACATGTGCTCAAAGTGGGTCAACAAGTAAGCATTTGATATATCAAGTTAAAATTTCAGATATCTTTGTTAATATCTATCTTTTATGCTCTAAAAATTTCAGGCAAATTAGAGATGGTCGAGCAGAAACTGCTGATGAGATGTGATTACATTTATACATTAAACTGCACCTCCTTTGCCACCCACCTGACCTCTGCCTCCCGTCGTTCTCTCATCCAGGTGAGCGTTTGTTTCCTCCTCCGTCCGGCCTGAGCTACACCACCTGGTTCTGCGTGGAGCGTTTCAGCGCCGCCCCTCAGGCTCACCCGGTCCGGCTGCTGACCATCGTCCGCCGGGCGACGTCCTCGGAGCAGCACTACGTCTGCCTGTCCGTGGTGCTGTCGGCCAAAGACCGCTCGCTCACCGTCTCCACCAAGGAGGAGCTGCTGCAGACGTACTGTGAGTTGCAGGAGCAGGATTTCATTTGTTGCATCAGGTGGTAGCTTTTAGGATCAAAATGAGATAAAACATATTAATCCAGAAGGAACTGCTTGTGCCAGGTACTGCTCAGAAAAAAACAATGACATAAGAAATGTAGTGCCTAAAAGTAGACAGCAATAAGATATAAGTACGATATGTTACTGAACAGCATGCAGTATGTGAGTTAAATAATGCTAGAATAGAACAGTAAAAAGTGAAATATTACACATGAAACTAAAGTATTACTCATGAGAAATGAAAATATGATGTGTTGTACATTACATATTGAACATGAAATGAAATGCACATGACACAGAAACTAATATTGCACCAACTACACTGATGTTGATAACGTTCTTCAGACATTATAAGCCGTCACACTAGTGTCACACAAATAGGTGCAAGTGGTAATAAAACTGTGAGTATTTAACAATTTAGCTCAAAGGCCTCACAGCTGGACTCCTGCTTTGACTGAACTTGTACGCATCATTGTGATCCATTATAATGTTTAATATTTGTTAAACCTGACAGACAAACTCAGTAGAGCCTTTGGAGTGATTTGATGCAGGGCATGTTGTCAGGTCTTAAAGTTGAAGACGTAACGTTACACTGTCACATGTCTGTAACAACTAACAAAGCTTTAGTCACCCTGGGTTAACGCGTTCAGTCCCTCTGACTCTCTGGTGTCGCCTCCTGCTTCCCTCCCCATCAAGCAGCCGACGAGTCGAGTGAAGAAGCCTCCTTCTACGAGATCCTGCCCTGCTGCGCTCGCTTCCGCTGTGGTGAGCTGATCGCCGAGGGCCAGTGGCACCACCTGGTGCTGGTCATGAGCAAAGGCATGCTGAAGAACAGCATGGCGACGCTGTACATCGACGGCCAGCTCATCAGCACCGTCAAGGTAGAGTTGTTGACCGTGTGCATCATGAACGTCTCTTAGAAACACTGACATCCGCTTTGTGCAGCACAATTCGACTATTATTTATAAATCTCAGTTGAAATAAAATGAAACTCGGCTCATCTCTTGAGCATTTTTAAATCAATGGTTCATCTTTCAGTCTATTAAATATTAACACGTGTGAAAAATGCCTTGTGCAGTCCTTTTATATTCCCATTGGTAAGTAGATGGATGTATGGATAGAAATACACAGAGCAGACATCCTACTGCTCATGTGCAATATCATTATCTTCTCACATTTACTGCTATCTATTTTTAAAGAGGCCTGCTATTTAAAGCTACAGAGAGAGAGATTGCGTTCATTTTAAAGCCAAGGGTATGCTGATGATTTATTATTGATATGACATCAGTGAGACGCAGGATCAATAGCTTTGGAGTCACCGTGTTGCTGCTGTGATTGACGCATAATTAGCCTAAAATGTTTGATCTCTATTCTGAAAGGAGAAGCACAGATATGCGCAGAAATGTCTGAAGCCTTCTTTAAACAGCAGCCAGCCTGCAGTGCAGCAGCCAGCGCACTGTGATGTGGTTTGCGGTTTAGTGACTTTAGATTCCCCTGAGATTGGACAGCAGAGGACCAGCTCAGACCACAAGTCACAGCTTCCTCTCTGCAACGCTGATAACAGCAGCTTCATTTCCTGCTGAGGTCCACACACAGGAACCCGCCGGCCGCTCATATGTCCCTTATTGGTCTGTGTGCATGTAACAGTGTACTTGTGGTCATGTTTTTTTTGTTTTTTTAACCTTGTGAAAGTATAAAGAATCTCGTGGGTGCATCATCATAGCAAACTAAAAACTACCTTGTGACAGCAGCAGTGGTGGCTTCTGTTAATTGTTCATTAATCAGCCCTCAAACTGATGATTTTATGAATAATGAATAGATGATACTCTGTGCAGCTGTTGCACTCCAGACTTCACACACTTGTAACATATGCTCAGAAAACTGCTGAGATGCAGTTTTACAGTGAGTACAAACAGTTCTGTCATATTCCCACGGTAAAAGCTCCTACACCACTTACTGTTGTGTGACATTTAAGGCTGTCACTCTTACATATTTTTATTATAAATTAATATGGTGAGTATTTTTATGACTGCTTGATTAATGTGTTGGTATGAAATGTCAAAAAAAAAAAAGGAAAATAGCCACCACTACATTCTGAAGTGTTATTTTGTCCGACCGACAGGCTCTAGATCTCTAAATATTTCATTTTCAATGATATTAAAAAAAAAGCTTTGATTCGTAATCGTGTTCATAAATTGTCTTTCAGTTCACCTTCACTAAAGCATGAACCCTCTTGAAGTGTTATTCTGTAGTTAAATTACTAAAACATGAAGGATAGTAACATTTCACAAATGAATGGCAGTGTCCCATCCTTAAATACAAGTTGTGATCAAAAAGTTCCAAGACTGTGCCTACAAACCAAGTCAAATTGAAGTTTGGCCGCCATCCCTGTCCAAGTAGTTCCTTTGTGCAGAGCTTCACTGCTCCCAGGGCTCCTGCAACACTTGAAACAGTCAAAAAAGTCCTTTTGTGATGAGCACCAAACCTCCTAAACTGTGTCAAAACGCCAACCCTTACACCTGAAAATTAATTGATTAATGTTAAACATGAAAGACAGACTTTGTACGCTGCCGTGAACCATCACAAATTCCTACATGGACATAGACTCTTCCTAAAACCCCTTTTCTGAACCCTCACCTCTGCCTTTCCTCTCCTTCAGCTCCACTACATCCATAGCGCTCCGGGCGGCTCCGGCTCCACCAACCCCCCTGTGGTGAGCACCGTTTACGGCTACGTAGGGACGCCTCCCGCCCAGCGCCAGCTCTCCAGCCTGGTGTGGCGTCTGGGGCCGAGCCACTTCCTGGAGGAGGTCCTGCCAGCCACCAGCGTCGCTGCCATCTATGAACTGGGACCCAACAACGTGGGCAGCTTTCAGGCCGTCTACCTGCCCTGTGAGTGCTTTTTCTGGCCTCACGTCTCGTTTTGTCATCACCTAATCACTTTTTTTCCCTCTCATAATAAGACTTTTATTTACGTTTTTTCCCATATTTTCCAAAGTATGTGAGCTTTTTCTTAAATTCTGACTTAAGTTTAAAATTTTGAGCCTTTAACTACAAAATTAGGACTTGATTCTCGGAATATTTACTTTTTTCTCACTAATTTTGACGTTATTCTCCAAATAGTGCACGCGCTGTTCCTGAAAAACATATTTATTTCTTAAAATTACAACCTAATTCTCACAATAGACTTTTTTTTTCCTTAAAAATGTTTGGAATTAAAATTTTATTCTTGTGATGTTAGGATATTTTTGTTAAAATATTATAATTTATTCATCATAGTGGCTCTAAAATCTTCTGTCTAAACTAAAAAACAGTCCCTGGGTTTCTGTGTTGTTGTGTTTCAGAGAAAAAAAGATGCAACAAGAAGTGAAAATGCCAAACAATCAGTTGTTGTTTATTAAACTGTGTATAAGCTTCTATTTAATGTTAGTTTATGAAGAATGAAGAAAAAACAACGAGTTTATTCCGACGTTTGTGAAGCAAAGATAATCAGAAAGTTTTGGGTGAAAATGTTCTTTTATCGTCATGAAGCTCAAAAACGATGCAACTCCTCTGTTTCTCTACTTATTCTTTATGCTCTCCATGTCCAGGTAAAGACTCTAAAACTGAAGTAGCTCCTGCCACTCCGGTGGCGTTGGTGCCTGAGGAGAAGGTGTCCTTCAGCCTCTACGCGCTCTCCGTCTCTACTCTAACTGTGGCCAAAATCAGAAAAGTCTACAACAAACTGGACAGCAAAGCCATCGCCAAACAGGTCAGACACCAAGTTTCATCGTTAACGGAGTCATCAGGGTTATGGTCAGATGTGCTGCACTGTTTACGAATCTGCAAATGTGATGGAACACAGTAAAGATCATGGCAATCTTGAGTTTACAGTGACTTCTCTAAATCCTATTTTTCTATCCTGGAATCATTGAAACCTTTCTTTGCCACAAAAAAAAACATCCTGAATTTGAGTTTTAAAAAAAAAAAAAAAGATTTATTATAGGTCTTCTGGAAATAGAACTACTTCTGTTGCGTCAAAAATATACATACAGCACTGCTCATATTAGGTTACATTTTCACCTCAGCTAGGCTTTTTTAGTGGCTGAAAGGGTGTATCTTTTGTAGATTTGTTCTTGGGTTTGTCCAGAGTCATGTCATATGTTGGGAGCGTTTATCTTCAGTCGTTCCTACGTTTTAGTAATTGAGTTCTCTGTGGAAGGAAGCTGGAGTCTGACTGAGCTGAGTGTTCAGCTCACTGACTCACATTACATCACGTCTGACTGATGTAACCCAACGAAAAAGCGAAGCAGCAGCAGCTCTCTCCCTCAGCTTGGTGTGGTGATGAGTTCAGTGGAGACCTTTAGCGAAGTGCAAAGTTTGCACGGAGTAAAGATTTATATCCTGAATGATAAATAAACATTCTGTTGAGCTTCCTGTTGCTTGCTCTCTATTTACCTACATGCAGCTGCAAACATCTGTGCAAACGCCCGCTTCTTTAAACTGACATGAATGTTTGTTCACACATACAAACGCATTGAAAGAACCAAACACACCATCCGACTGTCCCACCAGAGCTGCATGTTGGATGAGCTCCTCCTGCATCCCTATCTCTCTCCCCACCTGTCAACTCATTTCCCAGCCCGCCCGGCTCTCTCCGCTAAGCCTCAGCCCACGGCGACTCGAGCCGCAAAGGAAACTGCAGAGGCAGCGTTTCTGCTGTAGAAGAGGCCCGTCACAGAATAAGAAAAGAGACGTTTGTTGTACCAGCAGCTGGAAAAAGAAATATGTCAGTGAAGAATAAAGAAATGCAACATTATCACCTCCTTCTTAGCAAAAAAGCTACAAACGCAGCATGAAGGCCGTCGCTGTTATAGAATTTCTCACACCTCTTCCACTTGCTAAATTGGCTGTCATGTTAAAATGAATAAATAGAGCTCCATAAAGAGAGATTTTTTATTTTTGTTCGATAGAGCCACAGTATCTCTTGCTGTTTTCTTACGTCCCCTCTCCCTCTGGCTTTGCTGAATTGGTCCCATATTTCATTCCAGGTGGATAAATAAAAGCCTTTTAGAGTTGATGAAAGGCTGCAGCTTTCAGCACTAAAACGGGAGACCCTGGCATGAAAAAGACACGATAACAAGCAGTGTTCAAACCCTCCAAAATAATAGAAGAGAAAGTTACCTGGCAAATGAGAGGAATAAAAACGTTAAAGTGTATTTTTAACATCCTTTTTCAGCTCGCTGTGTCGTCTCATGAGAACGCCACTCCGGTCAAGCTGATCCATAACGCCGCCGGTCACCTCAACGGTCCAGCTCGCACCATCGGAGCTGCTGTCATTGGATATTTAGGTAAACTACGTGTGTGAAACAACTCCTGAAACCAGTTAATCCTGTCGTCTGCAGCTCTCCGGTCTCAATGTCTCCTTCTTCTTACCTCTTCAGGTGTCCGCGCCTTTGGGCCCAAACCCGTCGCCACCAACCTGCAGTATGTGGGAGGGGCGGCGGCCATCTTGGGCCTGGTTGCCATGGCGTCAGATGTGGAGGGGCTGTACGCTGCAGTCAAGGCGTTGGTGTGTGTAGTAAAGAGCAACCCGTTGGCCAGTAAGGAGATGGAGCGAATCAAAGGCTACCAGGTTGGACACAGTTTGAACCATTAACATCTCGTCTACAGTTTTGGATTCACAGCTTGTTTGCGAATATTTTGTAGAAGTCGGTTACTTTATGCAGTTTCTTTTTGGAAAAAAACTATTTTGAAATGTATCCCTATCAATTTAACGCTTGCATTTCCTATGATTGTTCGTCTGTTTTGGTGGGGACAGAAACTAGTATCTTTTCACAATGACTGCACATCACTCTGGATGTGAGCATCAGCACGCTTAACCCTCTGAACCAACAGCAGTTTCTTTGCTCCTCTGACATTTTTACTCACTGTGGGCTCATTTTCCACTGCAGTATAAAGTCCTGCACCTCTATGGAAACAACACAACCTCGACTAGAAGTAGAGAGAACTCAAAAATGCTTTCAATGCATAAATCACAAAAAAGAAAGAAATGAAAGTTGATTTTCTTTGTTTACTAATTTGCAATTTTAACCCCAAAAAAACATGCATTCAACATGTTTTTTCAGGTGACACACGTGTTAGCAATACTGGAGGAAAGATTTGAGCTCCATGTGCGATAGATATGCTTTTTAACGAGGCCTGTTTACACTTTTTCCTCTACGAACTAGGTTGTTTTCACACTACTCTGCACATCAAGTACGTTTTCCTCTCAGCCTCTAGTTGTCTCCCCCCTATTCAATGTAAACGCCGCCTGCAGTTCAGCCTAAAGGTCTGAATTGTTATACTGTGATTGTTGGTCGCAGCTGAGTCATTTATGGTTTTTCAGTTGCGAAGCAGAGGTTTTTTGTTTTTTCTGGGATTCCATAAGAATGGTTTATTTTTGTGTGATTTGGATGTAATATCACATTTTAAGCTCATATTTAATTATCTCTCTGCAAAGAAGTGTCACAAATGATACATAAAAAGAAATTTGAGAATCTGATCAATTTTTTTTAGTTTTTGTTTCTCTGGTTTTGAGAAATGGCAATTTTTTAAAAAAGAAAACACTTTTCTGACCTGCTAATTGGTTTTGGGGTTCGTAGGGTTAATATAAACGTGACTGCTCAATCACAAATAGAAAGCAAAGTTTGTTGGAATCTGCACAACCACAAAACTCAGTCGCTTTGAAACATGTTGATTTAAACGGTTTCATTTTGTCTTTCCCCTGTAGCTGCTCGCTATGCTGCTGAAGAAGAAGCGTTCCCTGCTCAACAGCCACATCCTCCATCTCACCTTCTCTCTGGTCGGAACCGTCGACAGCGGCCACGAAACGTCCATCATCCCCAACTCCACCGCCTTCCAGGACCTCCTCTGCGACTTTGAGGTGAGTATTTGGGAGGCAAACGGACTTGCGGTGTCACTACATTTAAAGCAACGAACCTTTACATGAAGTGTTTCCCAACAGAGAAGTAATCTTAATATGACTAATTCACCTATTTTAAACATGAAACCCACCAGTTTACCACTTGTTCCAGTTAAACCCCTCTCTAGCTGATGAAACGCTGAAAGTTGCAGGTTATCACGCCGCTGCCGAACCTTTCCCAAAACCGTGCGGTTCTGTGCCAAGGCGGCGCCTCTCGTTGCCAGTAGTTTGTGCTGCCAAACGTAACTTGTGTCGCGGGGTCTCAGGCTGCTCCTTCTGCTCCTCAGGTCTGGCTCCACGCTCCCTACGAGCTCCATCTGTCTCTGTTCGAGCATTTCATTGAACTGCTGACAGAATCCAGGCAAGTGTCAAAAAGTTAATCTCTCCGAACAAAAAAACAGATCAAATGGAGAATAACGACGATGCTACGTTGCTGCTGTTGACTCTAATCTTCCTGGTTTCACTTTATTAAACAGTGAGGCGGCTAAAAACGCCAAACTACTGAGAGAGTTTCAGCTGATCCCAAGACTGCTGCTGACTCTGAGAGACACTTCACTGTCTCAACCTACTGTGGCCGCCATCAGCAACGTGCTCAGTCTGCTGCTGCAAGGCTTCCCGAACCCGTACGACCTGCTGCGGTAAGACCACAATCACACCGTCACATGAAGGGAACTTATTCCATTTAAAAGAAGAGATTTCAGTTTTAATGCTTGACTTTTGTTGAGAGACAGAAAATCAAAACTTTCTTCACCTGGCAGGTTTGGCCAGTTCATCTCCTCCACCCTCCCCACGTTCGCTGTGTGTGAGAAGTTTGTCGTCATGGAAATCAATAACGAGGAGAAAATCGATGGAGGTAACAGTTGATTAAATGCATTAAAGGTTTTGTTGAAGTGGTCACATGCTGATCTGACGGCATCACAAAAATGAGGTTCCTATACAACTAAACTGCATTTCCATTTATTAATGATAATAATAATAATAATAATAATAATAATACTTATCGAGCACTTTTCAAGACACTTTACAAAGTAGGTAAGGACACAACAACGTAAACAAATAATAAATAAATATTTTTCTAATTTCTAATAATGAACATTTACATATTTTCTCCAGCCGTGTTGCTCCACTGTCTCAGATTTTGTTCAAAGTTTACTTTTTTGTTATTCTGTACCCCAAACTAGGTAACTGTCAAATATTTAGGCAGAATTTTTGAGAATTTCATGTAACCTTTTTGCATTTTCACCCTTAATCAACCATCTCACCTGTGAAGCTATTTTAATGGTTCAAAACCTCTGCTCCCCTGGTTATGAACAAATGTTGGGTCAGTCTGTGTTAATTTAGACAGAATATATTGAATATGTTGCTGCAGTGTCTCATTTTTTTTCTTTATAAATGTGTTCTTTAGGCCAAAAAAATAAAGTTTTCCAAAACATTTTTGGCTTGACTTTGAGAGTTTAATCGTTTTTTGCCACACCTGGGAAATTCTAGGGTTCGTTATCTCCAGAAATGTAATTCAAAGAGCCATGAAATTTGGTGAGCACACACGGACAGAATTGCTTCAAGCAGATCTGAATGATTAAATGACTCCTGTAGAGCCACGTTTTTAATTAGTGGGACTTGAAAATGGAAAAAAGTACAATATTTTCAAATCAGGACGATGTTAAAGCACCAGAAACTTCCTCTAAGTGTATATATGTTTGGTAATTTCATATTTTCTACTGAAAATCCAGCCTTTGGTTGACATATTGCCAACTTTTGAAGCCTTTAATATCAGTAGAATTAGATGTGTGCTAAGACAAGGTTCCAGTTTGTTGTCATAGGAGCACAAATGAGTTACAAGTTGCATCCATGTTGTCTCCGTGTTGAAATTCAACAACATATGAGGCTTATTTTGCCCTTCCGAATGTTTCTATATGTACACTTGAAATAAACAATAAACAGAGAAACTGATGACAATAAATCTCAAGTTTATTGAAACAAATCACAACATCAGCAAGATGAGTGAGTAGAGCGACAAAACAAAAAATAATCTGTTTTCCTCTAATTGAGGATGCAGTTTACTTGTATAGGAATGCTATATTTGGAGGACAGAGCAGTTTTGTTGGGTCTCTAATCTGAATTTACTTATGAAAACTTTTTCTCAGGTAACGACGATGATTTCGGCGGCCTCCTGTCAGCGAACCTCATCCTGCTGAGAAACCGACTGCTGGACAACCTGCTCCGGCTGCTCTTCACCACCAAAGAGAAGTGCACGGTTAACGCCCAGTAAGACAGTCATGTTTTCTGTTCAGGAATAATCATAGAAGTACCAAAATGTGTGTGTCGTGTTAATGTCTTTCTTCTTTTAAAGACTTTTATCATTAAAAAGCAGTTTTGCTCCGATGGGACATTTGCAGCTCTGATGGGAATAAAGCTTTATTTTAATAGTGGCCTACAGGCTGACATCAAAAGTAACCTTAGATGGAGATTATAATGATAAAAGCTCACAATATGATGAGCAAGCTGTCAGAGTGTTTAAATAGTCGTTAAAGCTGGTATCAGGCTGCGGTTTAGGGTTCGCTTATGGAGCGTGTCTCCCTGCAGGGCCTGCGAGGAGCTGGTGAGGACGCTGGGCTTCGACTGGCTCCTGATGTTCATGGAGGAGCATCTGCACTCGAGCACAGTGACGGCGGCGCTGTGGATCCTGGTGGTGCTGCTGTCCAACCAGTCCATCCTAAACCGCTTCAAGGAGGGCCTGTGCGGAGGAGGCTGGCTGGACCACACCGACTCGGTCCTGACCAACAAGATCGGCACGGTGCTGGGTGAGTGCAGCACAGTTAGTCAAACAACATGTGAAACACAGTATTAAGTCGAGCAATTCAACAAGCTTGATATTGTCGTAGTGTCAGTAAAATACTACAAGACACTGCAGCTGAATGCAGTAATGATGTCCAGTGTAAATGCTCTATGTTGTAACGTGGCTCAGCAGACGCCTCTCCTCACTCTGGCAACGCTTTCCGTCGGAGTTGGCCGTCGTTCAGTAAACAGAAAGCTGCACAGTTTGTGCGCCGAACAGCCAAGGGTTGGTCCTCTCATTTCTCGCCCCCCCTGCTCTCCCTGCTGCTGCTGCGATCATAGTCCCTCCTGAGCTCGATGGTTTTCAACCTCCTCGCCGTTTTTCTGGCGATCAAGCGCACGGAACGATTCTGATCTTCCCAAAATCTGGTTTGCAGGCAGAAAATAAATGTGGATTTTGCCTGACAGATGATGTTTATTGCACATAATAAGCATTAAAAAATTAAAATTCAGTGCTCAGAGCATTCACTGTAGCAACAACAAAAGTAGAAATGAAGAAAATGATGCTAAATTTGCACATTATATATATTTATTTACATTTTTTTCTGTCAACTTGCCAGCTCCCAGGTTGAGAACCATTGCTTTTGCTTTGGAAACCACCCTGATTAGTGGTTGAAGCCCCTAGTTTGTTTTCTTTTCGGATTTGTTTTCTAGCTCAACAGATTGCAGTAATTTCGTTAGTGCACAGTTCAGTCAGCCCTTAGGTTATTATTGCAACCACCTCCTTCATTATCCCGCTCCATTAAACCCAAACCCGGTGCAGCAGCTGTATCCAGAGTCGCCTGTAGGTGCCTTAGTCTGTTGCTCTTAATTGCACCTGTTTACCTTTCGTTCGATGTTCCTAACATTCCCTCCTCCCTCTTACTCTCTGACCTTCCTCCTTAGGCTTCAACGTGGGTCGAAACGCCGGCGGTCGCTCCACACTGCGGGAGATCAACCGGGACGCCTGCCATTTCCCAGGATTCCCAGTTCTGCAGACGCTGCTGCCCAAACACACCAACGTGCCCGAGCTCTACTTCCTGCTCATGGCTCTCTTCCTGCAGCAGCCTGTCACCGAGCTGCCAGACAGCCTGCAGGTACATGTTAGTACACCCGTCCTTCTTTGTTCTTTTTCTAAATAAAAACAAACATGTCTTGGCTGCTGTACTCTAAATCTGTGATTATTTGAGACAATATGTGAAATACGATACTGAAAAGAGCTAACATTGTGATATTTTGTTTTCTTTCTGATATATATATATAAGTTGCAGTATGAAAAAATACAGAAATTTTAACCAGATGACTTGAATGAATCTATTTAGAAAGAATTAAATCAATCTAGAACAGTTGGGGTGATTTTGCAGGGAAGAAATTATTCAAAAGAAGCTTTCATCATTCTTTCTGTAGCTAAAATATTTCCATACAGCTCACTAGATCTGCTTGCCAAAATGATAATCTAGATTATTTTGATCCATACTGAGTTCCAGGTTATTATTATGATTATTCATTAATTGTAGAGAATATATTTTTGATTGTATTTTGACATATAAATAAACAGAGCACTACTTTTGCTGCCACGTTGTGATAAATTCCTGCTAGTTCACAAAATAAGACTTAAATTAATCTTCACCTGAATTTAGAGCTTTTTTCACAGCAAAAATATAAATAAAATTGCACCCAGATCATCTCACCTGCTTAACATGTGCTCATCATTAGATGATGAAACTTACCAGTGTTCATTAAACGCCTCGCATGCAGGCCACAGTAGGAGCTAGCTAGCTAGGCGGCTGTGCACAGAGAAGCCTCTAGTCTCCACTCAGTTACTGAAGCTCATGAAGCTCAGACAGATGTGTGACCAAAGATTACTGTAGAAAGAGAAAAACAATGTTAATTGTGAGTTTATCTACATGGACAGATTTCTATGAGCAGAGGATTTAGACGTTCATAACACAGGTAATCATGTTCATTTACCTGTGAGAAACCCAAATGTGATTAATATTCCATTAATTGCACGGCACTAGAACTGCTGTTGCGTGTCTTTATTGCAACCAAACCTTCCTTTTCAGTGCTTCTCTTCTGCTCCTCACTCATTTTTGTGGTGCACATGTGGAGCCAGCACGACATAAAAATCTGCATCTTGTCAATAAAGCAAAAAAAAAAACTAGGTTTGTTATATCCAAGAACCCGTAAATCGGACTACTTTATCAGGCAGACTTCTTTTGTAAATTAGTCATGGCAATTAAGAACCGTGCAAGTTGTCTTTTTTGTCTCAGACAGCAAAAAAAGTTTAATTAATTTGCATTAATTGCCTCATTATTGCACCTGAAACATCAGTGTCATTACTGAAACCATGTAATGTGCTTAAATGTGATATTTCATAACAAATGAATAAAGCAAGTTAATGCAAACAAACGTGTTTCTGTAGATTTACATGTAGAAATGATTAAACTCAAGTTTTCAACGCTGAAGTCAGAAATGAGCAAAACGCATTTCCTACATGTGTGAAAACAACCCCGCTGTGTTCTATTTACAAAGTGAAGATTTTAGCAGCTAACAGACTACAGATGGCAGTTTTAAAAATTGCGTCTACGTGACTATATGTTACCCCCAGTTTGTGTGTTTGTCCTCTCAGTTTGACCTGGACTCCATCTGGACGTTCATCTTCGGCATGCCGGCCTCCAGTGGGACGGTGGTGGGCTCCATCCACAGCGTCTGCACCGAGGCCGCCTTCCTGCTGCTGGCCATGCTGCGCAGCATGCTCAACCTGGTGAGAGCACTCGCCTCCGCTGTGAAAAAAAAAAAAAAAACCCAGGAGCTTTGCTTTAGTGCATGTTAACTGT